CGAGAGAATGAAGAATAAGCGTCGACGGACCGGCGCCCGCCGGACAAAGAAGACGGGTGAGGGATTTTATTCCCTGACAAAAGTCCCGGACATTAGTAGTCTACCGACAGACGTGCGATTGGAAATTGAAAAGTCCTTTACTCCTAATCCGAAATTGAAGACTCAGCTAAATAACCTTCTTCAGAGAAAGGCGATCGTACAATACTGTAAGCAGCGTCAGTACGACATATCGCAGTACCCGACAAACGTTCTGGCCAAACGCTACAAGTTTAGAGAGATACACCGCGACGTCCGCGAACACTTTGAAAAGGGAGTCGCCACCCACAACTCTGTCACCAAGCACCCGCTTTCGACAACGTTTCGCGAAAACGCCATCGCCGTCAAGGTCTCTTCTTACGTGAACAAACTCAAGAACAAAGTGCGTCTTCCGACGCGCGTTCCAGAAAATGTCGAGGCTCTGTTGAGAGGCATGGCTTTTAACGAGTAAATAAAAATGGTCAAATTTTCCAAGTGCGGTTTCTCGAAACGAACCGCCAGAACAAAGTGTTCGAGATGCAACAGGAACGGTCGTAGACTCGATACGAGAAAGCCGTATCGCCTCGAACATTTCACCAAGGAAGATCAAAGGCGCATTCTCGGCTCCATGCGGGTTAAACGAGGACAGAGTCCAACCTACCTGAAACTTTTATTGGGGAAACTAATTCAGGCCTTTGCTCGCAAACACCGACTGCCGGCGTCATGTCCGATCAATCGAGCCAGACACGCGCTGATAACTCACGCGATCCTCGACAAGATTCGACCATCGAGTCAAAGAACGAGGAGGAGTCGTAGCAAGAGCGTCGCGCGGCGGAGGACTAGGAGCAGGAGCGGAAGCGTCGCGCGGCGGAGGAGCAGGAGCGGAAGCGTCGCGCGGCGGAGGAGTAGGAGTAGGAGCGTTCTCTCCTCGGGTCGAAGAAGAGGAAGGAAGAGGAGTCGCAGCGTCGGCAACAGGAGGAGCCGTAGCATTTCCATCAACCGAGGCCGACTCGGTCGCAGCGTCAGTGTCGGTAGGCGAACAATGTCCAGAAACGCCAGCAGCGACTCCAAGTACATGTATCCCGTGTAATAAAAAAATGTATCAAGTGCGCGTGGATTATTCTTTCGACCAACTCCCGCCGAGCCTGCTCAGGTCTCTCACGAGCGCTCACGAGGGGTTGCGGTCGGAGAAGAACCGTCTCATAAAGCGTGCCAACGACGTGATCAGAGACTTTCAGGTCTTTAAGATGCACAAGCGCAGCGCCCCAATTTTCGTCAGTCAATTTCCAGTTCACGTGTTGAATGACATGTACTCGATAGTGCCCGTGCGTAACAAGAAGGGCGACGTCATGTGCGGAAGGGAGTACGCCCAAACGGCCAAGGCTATTCGATCTAACTCGTTCTATCCCGTGTTTAAAGCGAGAAGCGACGGCGCAGCCCTGTTGGAAACCAAAGTCGGTAGGACCACCGGAGATAATCATTCGCCCTACGTTTCGGGAGTCTTGGTGAACGTAAACATTGACAAGATATCTAGCAAGTTTCACGACGTGGTCACCAGCCGCTCGATCAAGGTGGGGCAGAGGATCGACGTGATTCGCGACCCACCGCCGTCCTTTCTGGAAACCATAGTCGTGGCCTACGAGATGGTCGAGCTAGGCGAGTTGTATAGGACAATAAACGGCGACTTTACAAACTTGCCCACGCACGACACGTATTATTCCGACAACATCGTGCACCGAGAGTCTGGTGCAAAGTTTCGTCCAAACGCGCGCGACAACGTGCGAAAGGAATTCAAGTATCGCGTTTCCAATCGCCCCAACTACAGGATCGTGGACGACTGGGAAAAGAGACCGCTGGGTCCGTCCACGGATATTCCATTCGACCGGCGGAGGCCGCTACAAATCGACTCTGCGTACCAGACGGACGGTGTACGAGACAAATAATAATAATAATAATGAGCCCAAGTTTCACGGAAATTCGGACGACGACTACGCTGAGCGCAACGTGGATAGCGACGACGACGCTGAAGACGGTGACGACGGTGACGACGACGTCAGTGACGAGATCAGGCGCTACAAGTACAAGAGATACTACACCGAAAGCGATCACATTATGCGAGCTTTGCGCAACGTCTAGTACGTGTCTTTTTTTGAAATAAACAAACAATCATTCGAGAGGCTTTATTTTTCTACATACACAAAACGTACGTATATATACGCGCGCCTGCCGAAGCGCGTCGACAAACGTAGAACATGACCGGAGTAGCATCCAGCGTGTCCAAAGAGTTTCGCGAGGCCACCAAGTTTGATCAATCGCGAACCTTCGACTGGAGCAGAGTAGTGGCCAACGTTTATTCGGAAGACTCAAATGAGGAAGAGTTTGAACGAGAGAGGGTCGTCCTGTTCTCCGAAATTTGTAAACTTTCTCATGTGTCCGCGAACGCTCTGACCGTTTTGGACCTTGTCGACTATCCGACCTTGGAGGACGCACAATTGTTGTACATTGTTTGTACGTATACGCACCTCAAGACCATACTCCTGAGGAACGCCCCCCTATTGTCAAACTCTGCTCTACAATACTTGGCGACCTACGCTCAATCTCTCGAACATCTTCAAATCAGCAACAACGGTGGCCGTATCAGGAACGAGGGATTGATTCATCTGGCTCCTTTGCGTCGACTCAAGAGTTTGTGTCTGACTGGAATAAGAAACGCCAGTCTAGCTGTCCTTCGAGTGATATTGCAGAACAACGAATCTATATACGCTATCTTGGTGATAACGACGGAACTCTTCGCCTCTAAAGATAACGTGACGCACTTTGTCTTTTGCGCTTCGAATCAGTTGAGTCAGGAAATGTACGATTTTGTTTTTTGTAGCGAAACGTTATCTCCGTTTTCAGAGAGCGAGTGAGGGTATATATATATATATATGTACTCGCACGTACTACGCTTACAGCAAAGCTAACCCTACCCTCTCCCCCGACATCACGACACGACACGACTACTACCCTATAACCCAAAGCGACAATGGCTCGACTAGACAGGTCCCCATCTCTCCCGCTGGCCGACACCTGCGTACAAGTGTTCGCTCAGTCCAGAGTGTCAAGCGTGGTGGATTGGAAAACAGTGGTGCTTAGTATATACCACGAAGAAGAGGGCTACGCTTGGGACAACGTGGAAGGGCAAATTCACTGTGCGTATACCGAAATTTCAATATTAAGAAGCTTTCCTACGCACATCACATTCTTGGAGTTGGTGCACTATCCAATGCTGCGAGACCGCCACGTCAGTGATTTGGTTCGTTTCTACCCGAACATCAAGACTTTGCTCCTACGTCACGCACCCGGCTTGACCAACGACTCTGTAAAGTGCTTAGCGGACGGTCTACCTAATTTGACTCACTTGCAGATGGGATCGTGCTATCACCTAGACGACGAAGCCTTGATGTATCTCGCAGAAAAGAGGATCATCGACGTTGGCATACGGAGCCTCTGCATGACCGGACTCGGATTTATACGCCGAGAAACGCTTCACCAATTTCTCAACGTGCATCGAAGACTGACTACTCACCGCTAGAGACGTCCCCAACAAGGACGTCTACCTTGGTGAATACACTTTGTGTATTTCTAGCACAGTGTCTCCGTCACTAAGAAACATTGCGCCAACCGACCTAGACGTTATCGAAGGTGTGGACGGTGTTGTGGGTGACATCGAGTACCAAGACCTCGACAGTGACGACGGTGACGGTGACGACGGCTACAGTGACGACTACGACAGTGACGCCGACGAATATCTCGAATCGGACGACGACAGAATGCTGGGTCCGATCGTCCTAAACACCTTCAACTACGACGAAGGAGAAGACTCAATGGGCGAAGAAGACGACTGAGTTATGCTTGAAAATAAATATTTCGCGTGCTTATATTTTTGAGTCACGAATCGTTCTTTTGCATGCACACTACACTAGTGCCAGTACAAATAGTTTATTTAATGAATTCGATACATTCCACTCACTGCAGATTTACAAAGGCAACACACAAATTGCTCTCTCGAATTGTAAATCATTGGAAATAGACAATTTAAACATAAGGCGGCGTGGGCACAGGGCAAAGTAACTATACACACCGGACAGTTCATGCAGACGACGCAAATCGTCGTGGACGGATCGGACCGCTTCATGGAGATGCTCGTCTTGTCGATGCGCGTGGGATACGGACGTCCTACGCTCAGCGCCGAAAAAGAATCGCTGTTTTCGAGAAAGGACTTTAGCTTGTTCGGACAGGAAAGATCAAACTTGGAAGTGGCCAATGCTGTTATAAAGTCTAGGCTGTATTTGTTTGAGACAAACTCAATGTCCTTGGTATATTCTAGCAACCAAAATAAATCGCTATTTCTATACACGTCGGACACCTCCTTGATGTATGTTACGCTCGCGCACAATCGAAGATAGGGGCAGCGAGGGTTGTACTTGGCGTGTTCCTCGACTGGGTCGTCGTAGTCGGCTTCCCACGAAAGCAACCGAAGTCCGCAACAAAAGCATTCCACGGTCCGATCGGACAGGTAATAAAATCCCGCAGATGCCATGTAATCCACGTCAAAGACTTCTTCTTCTTTCGGCCGAGCGTCGAAGGAGGCGAACCTCGCAGTGTAAGTCTGAAACTCGGGCCTAAAGGCAAGCGCTCGTTCGGTCACCACCGCCGAGACGTCTGGACTCAGCGTGCGTAGCGGTGCGTCACAGTCGGATTCGTGCAGTCCTTGGGGAAGTGTTTCGTCTGAGGCCACGATAATAGAGAGTTGAGTCTTTTGCTGGCACATCGAGCAGCTGAGAATCCGCTTCTCCGGATCGTAGGCGAGTCCTGCCATGGCAAAGTCCTTGGGTGTGGGGGTACTGTTGCGCAAAGGCCACGTCGCAAAAGTTTTAAAGTCGGACATCACCTTGGCCACAGTCGGTTCGTGGTCGAACAGTCTCCAGTAGAAAGACATGTTCTTAAGCAAAGTAGACTCTAGAAATAAAGTCGATTTTGAGTCTACAGGCCTTGCAATGTTTGAATAATATGGTGCAGTCGAAACACGACACGCAGTGTCCGCACGGCAAGTAGGCAATGTTAGCCGGAGCCTTCATGCATACGATGCACCCCTTAGTTGATTCGTCTCGTGACTTTATAGCGGAATAGTGCGTATCACTGATCGCGCTATCTATCACAAAGTTACCCCACCTACCGATAGCCTTGTGATCGAACGAAGGAAGGGCGTTCACTGGCTCAAACAGAGTGTGACTGCCCAACGGAGTCGCCTTGCTGCTCCGAATGGCACTCACCATCGCCGATACGTTCAAGGGATGCGTCAGGTTGGCCGTGTACAGAGTACTCATAGTCCTGTTGCGGAACTTTGGGTCCTTGACGAGATCGTCGATCTCGGGAAAGTGAGACGCCCAGTACATCTCGCTCCTGTAAAACTTTTCGACTGCATCGTGCACGTAGTAATAGGTCTTGTTCACTCGTAGAAACACGCAATTGGGGGACCTGCGGGCGTGTAGCAGCCACGGATCGTCTTCTTCGCAGTCGAGGATCGAAAATACTTGCACCCCGCAGTAGAAACAAACGATTATGCGGGTCACTATCTGTTCGCGGGAGAGGTAGCCCTGCTCGTCGTCGTGCGAGCAGAAAAAGCCGGCCTTGGCGAACGCAGGGCCTCGAACATCGTGAAAGGTCTTGGCTCGAATCTTCTCGTCGACGTATCTCTTGTAGACCGGGTGAGAGTAGCTCGGCAAGACGGACACGACCTTTGCTACGTTCAGCCGCGGGTCCCTGTACTGCTCGAGAAACTTGCACGGCATTCGGCGGTGAAGGTCCATCGGGTGAAACGTGAGCGTCTCCCAGTCCTGTTCGGCGACTTGAAATTTGCAGTGCCGACAGTAGATGTGTTTCCGGTCAGCGCAATATTCTAGGCCGGCATAGGCAAAGTCTCGAGGCGTGGCTCTGGTGCGAAGTCGCCATTCGGCGAACGTCTTGAAGCGACGCACGACTTCCTTGCTTATGGGATCCGTAACGTGTCTTACAGGAGAGATGGCGATAAATACGTGCCCACGCTCCCGAACGACACGTCGACCTTACTCGGCTACTCGTCCAAGAAACTCATGCAGCACATTACCAAGGCGCGCACGACGCTCCTGACCAACGGAGATGTGGAACCGGTTGCAGATATGCTCTTTCGCGTTTTCGAACTCGGTAGTAACATACTGATGACGGTCGACATGGATCAGATGGCCATCCAAACGCTCCTAAATGACAATACAGTATTTCACTGCGTAATGGGAATCGAATACGTACGAAACAGTCTCAACATACTTAGGAAAACCTCTTCCTCGTCGACCACTCAGCGCGCCATCAGGGATCTGAAGCCGTACGTGGACGCGTACGCTACTGCCATTCTGCGCCTGCTACTCCTCTACATCGAAGAGATCTTTTCCCATGCGCGCGAGGCGACTCGCGGTATGGCGGTGGGCGCAAGGACGGCAGCCAAGATTACGGCGGTCATGCTAGTATCCCTGTGCAACTACGCGGCGGTGCGCGTAAAGTGCAACCCCATCTTTCAGTTTGAGAGCGCCATGGGCCACAACTGGCTCGACGTGGCCAACGGTCTCAGCCTCATGCACAGGATCACGCAGCCACACACCGTCAACGAAAACATTGTCGGGGCCATTCGCGTAAAGTTTTCGCAAAACAACAAGCCACAGGACGTCATCAACCTCCTGGTCGAAGAGAGCAACAGGTTGTACACGAGTAACGTCGAGAACGGAGTGTACCGCTGCGACACCGACTACATGACGCTCCGGACCGTCATGCCGGCCGAGCGGGTCACGGACGACGTCAACATCATCGATCCGGCCATCTCTACGACGCTGCGTGACCACAACGAGCTCATCATGAAGAGTTCCGACACGATCCCCGTGCCGCGGACCAACCACTACGTGCTAGCCCTGCAGAAGGAGAAGGCGCCGGCCACCGAGGTGTCGGTCCTTAACATCGCCTCCATCATAGAACAGTGCATGAGCAACGGGCGCGTGGACTCTCGCTTCGTCGAAGTGCACAAACAGTCGGACCAGGGCACGCAGGAGCTCAACAAATTTTACAGCCAGGCCTGTTGCGTCTCGCCCCGTAACCTCGGTCTGTTTCTACAGTGCCTAAACTTTGAGATGATGGACTCGGACATGTTTGGGGCCACCTTACAGTGCCTCAAGATGACCAAATGCATACCCACTCCGCGCCAGGAAGAAATTGCCACCTACTCAAACACGGCGCTATTTCGGATGGCCACCAACCTGTTTTATCACACGCGTTTCTGCAGGAGCTACCGCGGCGAAAACACCTACCTGTACGACTCGCGCTTCTTTAACGACTTTCTACTCTGGGTCCAGTCGCCCAACTATCTGGAACACCACATCTCGCCTAGCGTGTCGTCGTCCATCATCTCGTGGTGCACGTCCATGTCTACTGCCATGCACACTACGCGCGACGCCAACGGAGCGAAGTGCGCCATGGCGGCCATATCCACGTGCGAGGTGGACCAACGCGTACTAGCCGACTTTTTGAACATGTTCATCAAGCTCTTTATCGAGGACGAGACCGAGATTAGCGTCATCAACAAGAAATTTCTCGAGAAGGAACTACTCAAGGCTTTTGCCTCCGTGTCTAATTGCTACAACCTGTTTAGGGGGCAGTTTGTTTCGGCGACGGCCTTGCGCCTCTCCCTAGCCCGTTGTAGGTGGTCCGTGGCCGACGACGTGGAAGTCATCGTTCCGGTCGAAACAAAGTTTCTCAACAGACTGATATGCGACAGCGACGACCTGTTGTCCAACTCGATGCGAGACAAGCTCCGTAAAACCATGGAAGACGTCTCCACGATGATGGCGCCGCTACTCTCCAATCCATCCACGTCCACGCCTCGCAGCAAGGACGACGACAGCAACGTGCCCATATGCATTTGAAATAAAAAACCGCCAACGCCCCCATATACATTAACAAAAAGGTTCGGTGACTGATTTGAACGATCGAGGGAGTAAAATGTTGAAACAGGTCACGTTCGTCGATATCTTTTCGCAACAAAAAATGAGGACCCTGCGAGACTATCTCCATTGCGAACTGGACCTTTCGGTATCGATACCCTATAAAATCTGGATCGCTATCGCAAATTTCTTTATTCAAAACAACGTCCCATCGGTCGTAGAGGGAGCAGAGTGTTGTCAGAAAGACAGCTCGTCGTCCCTCTATCTACTCGTCTTTTCATACAGGGACAAGGACGCCAACCGAGAGGTGGTGGACTGCATAAACTTCATCAACGTGCTGCGCGATCTCAAGGTGCACGACGTGATATGCACCAAGCACTACGTCTACCTCTACGTCCGTCACTCGTCGGCGCATCACAACGTGCATGCAATTCTACCCTTTCTCCACCACGTTCTGCAAAGCTATGTAAACGACAAGACGACCACTTTGCCACTCGGTTACACTTTCGATCCCCTGGAAGAACAAGAATCCTTCTTCGACGTGATTCCAGTCACGTACCACGGCACCTACGAGGTGACCACCTCTCTACCGGCGCTCGTGGCCAAAATCAAACCCAAGGAAGACGGACAGTATGTGTCAGATCGCCTTTATTGCGAGAAGCATTGGATGTGTCTACACAATCTGGTCGTCTCGAGGCTCGTCGACTGTTTCTACTACATCACTATACAGAAATTGCAGATATTAAAAGATGTTACAAAGTCAAACATTACGTCCACCAACGACTAAGGCATTTACAAAGTGTCGTATTACAAGAAGTGACTCGCTTTCGCTTGTGTTTGTCTGCTTTGCCTAAAATAAACGCTTACGCTAGCTTGCACGCTGCTATACATATGTGTCTCTATGTGTGTGCGTCTGTGTGTGTGTGTGTCCAAACAAACGTTCTTTTATTCACAACATGTCGTTGTAAATGGCGTCGAAACTAGGAAATCGGAGGTTGCTCAGTCGCCGCTTGTTCTTCTTATAGGCCCGTCTGATGAGGCTAGTGGTGAACGTGCGAGACCAGTCGCTGCTCTGTCTAAAGATGCACAAGACGCGTCGTAGATCCATCGTCTTGATGCAGGGACACAGACAGCGGGTCTCGTACCACTTGTGGACGGCAGCAAGGGCTTCCACGTCCGACCAATTGTCGTAGTCGTCATCAAACTCCATAGCACCCATCATGTAGAGCGCCGAAAGCGCCTTGATGGCGCTGGAAACCGCAAGGTGTTCGCCGCTAGATTCGATAACGTAAGCTCGTATGTCCACCGCAGATTCCAACGCGTCGCTGGCCTTTAGGGCCCTTATGACGCTCGCAACGTCGGCGAGACTCACGCGGCACGCCTTGTTCTGCCCCATGGTCGTGATCGGTCGCGTGACGAAAGCGTTTGTTGTCGCGTCCCTCTCTACCACGCGGTCTTCGTACACAAACTCTACGGGCTTTACGTACCACGCTAGCCGGTCCTGCTGCGTGGTGTAGAGCGCGGTGTACTGAAGCAGCTTCAGGCATTTCGTGACAATCTCCTCTACTTTCTGCCGACGCTCGTTCGCCTTGGGCCAGTCCTTGGACATTGCGGCCGCTCGCCTCCGCGTAGTGGACCCTTCCATAGGTGCCGCGGCATCGACCGCCGCCAGTAAAATGTCAAAGAAGCTAGTCTCCTTCGTTGCGGCGTTCATCATAGCGCGAAACAGGTCCACCTTCTTGCCGTCCACCTTTTTAGATGAGCTTATCATAAACGGGAGCATCTCGTAGCCGCCGTACAGCAAGATTGGCACCACAAACAACAGCGGGTGAAGATCGGAACTACTGACGCGTACAGCGCGAGTAAAGAAATCGTCCTTGATGTGGTAGTAACCCGCCTGACGACTGGGAAGAGACCTGTCCAGCAGAGACACGGCGTGTTGCACGCCGCCAAACTCGAACCTGTGTTCGTTCTGTCGCTTCTTACTCTCGCTGCACTGGCGGGCCGAATACACGTAGACGTCTCGCGAGGGTATCTTTTCCACGACCGCAGCTACCCCGAGGAGAATGTCCGAATCGTCGGTGACAACGACGGACACGTCCCAGCGCTCGTCGTTTGGCGGCGGACACATTAAAGAGTCCACGACCTTGACGTCGCCTTCCCCCACGTAGAACGGCGGCAGGATCGTAAAGGACGAGAGTTGGTACGCTGCAGCCGACTCGTTCGAGTAGCCGTCAATCACCTCTTTGGCGTAGAGTGGGTTCTCGAGAAGCGTGGCATATTCCCTGACGTGCTGCATCACGTCCGAGGCCGCGGTCAATCGGCAGATTGTGGCCATGGCGTCTTTGCCGTAGCGTGCCAAGTTTTTGAGCCTTCCGTTCAGGACAGACTGCAGTCTCGAATTTTCGATGGTCCGAACTCGCTTGGTGTCCTCGCCAGACGAGTTTTTGATGACGTTGGTCAGCTCTCTACTGCGACGCTTGTACTGCTCGGGCCACTTTACCGTCGGCGACATTCCGTCAAACACCACCACCACGTCAACTTCCACACGCCTGTTTAGGGACAGCCCCTTGACGACCCTCTTGACCGTCCTAGATATGCAATGAAACACCATCGTGAAGAAGGCGTCGTATGGGATGCAGCGTTCGCCCGGTCTCGCCTCGTACTCCTTGTCCCAGTCCAAATCTCGAAGAACAAACGCGTCGTCTTCGATATAGTCTTCGACGTAATCGCCAACCAGATCTCCGTTGGTCTCGCGAACGTAGTGTTTGATAATCTCGAGGTTCAAGGCTTCCCACGCTCGCTCTCGTTCCTCTCGGTCGGCGATCGCTCGTGCGGCATCGATCTTGTCGGCAAACGTCTTGAGATGGTGGTCCGTCAGCGAGTGCTTGCAGTGGTGTAGAAAAATGTTACCGTCGACGACGACTTGAATGCGCGCCGACTCTCCGATCACGAACGAGGACGTCACGCTCTCATAGTCGAAGTGACGCGCAGACGGCGTAGGCGAAAAATACGTCCGCAAAACGAGGTTCGTGGCCGTCTCGACGTTACTGCCGGGGTCGTCCAAGAGCTGTAACTGAGACTCGAGTAACGGTGCCAGTTCCTCCTCGACGGCGCGGTTGCAAACTGCGTTGAGTGTATTCCAAAGATTTCGGATACCCATGGTGTCAATACGTGTATTGTGTGTGTAGAAGGGCGACGCTTAAGTACTCTCATCACACAAGGTCACGCCAAATAATGGAGGTTGTGTTTTTTTTTATTGGACGAGAAAGTGATACAGTATGCGTGATCCCTCTACCTGGGTGAAGGGCATCGGGTGACCTCCACTCGAGTGGGTAAGGTAACGCCCGCTCCCCTTGTTTAGATAGAGAAAGGGCTCTTGTAAAATGAACTTGAGGGGACAGAAGCGCTTGATTGTTTCGGGATCGAGATGAGTGGAGAGCACAATCGAGTTGTCAAAGCCGGGTAGCTCGAGGGTGCTGCCTGTGGGTACGTGCTTGTATGCCGTTTTGCTCGGCACAAAGTTGACGAT